GAAACCCGTTGTCAAAAAACAAAAAAAAAAAAAAAAAAAAAAAAAAAAAGAAAACAGCATCTTTGAGAATAGGAAAAAACAAAACCACACACATACATCAGACAAAGCCTTAGGCAAAATGGATCACTTGAGCCCAGGAGTTCAAGACCAACCCAGACAACATAATGATAGATATTCTCATCTAAAAAACAATATAAAACTGGGCATGGTGGCACATGCCTTTAATCCCAGCACTCAGGAGCAGAGAGACAGGTGGATCTCTGTGAGTTCCAGGATAGAAAGAGAGAGCTTTATAATAGAATCTATAAAAAAGAAAAAAGAAAAAAAAAAAAAAAAAACCCTCAACTTTAGGATGGATTGCTTCAAACATTACCAGAATATTAGATATTGACTAAGGCTCCTAGAGTTAGCCAGCTTAAAATGAAGGGAACTCATCACATTCAGAGGATGAGAAATAAGAAGTAACTAACTCTAGCGACTATTTTTTTTTGGGGGGGGTTGCTTTGGGGTTTTTTTGGTTTTTTTGAGACAGGGTTTCTCTGTGTAGCTTTGGAGCCTATCCTGGCACTCGCTCTGGAGACCAGGCTGGCCTCAAACTCACAGAGATCCGCCTGCCTCTGCCTCCCGAGTGCTGGGATTAAAGATGTGCACCACCAACACCTGGCTTTTTGTTTTTTGTTTTTTGTGGGACTATTTTTACATAACATAAATAAATCACTTATAGGAACTAACAATCAATTTGGGAGGCATAAGCACTCTTATTCTCAAGATTACATAAGTAGTCTTGAGCTCAGGAGTTCCAGAAATAGCCAGGGCAATACAATGAGACTTTGTCTCCAAAAAAAAAAAAAACAGGTTGGTAAGTTTTTACAATTGTAATTCCTGAATTCTGGAAAGAGGGAGAAAGATCATGATGACCCTGAAAGGTTAGCCTGGGCTTTACTGGGAGGCCCCTTCAAAAGGAGACAGACAGGTTCGTAATAAACAGTATATGGCAGGCTGAGTTTATGCCCAAGATAACACATTTTTAGTAATATTTTTATTTGTGATAATTTGTAAGAAGTGCAGATGACCCACTCACCTTTAAAGACATCAGCTTTGACAGATCGCCTATCTGGGGTATGTTATTGTCTGACAAATCAAGGTGTTGCAGAGCTGTGCAGCTGTTGATTTGCTCCATGGTCTAGCACAAGAAGAGCATCACATTATTCAGTGCACTTAAAATCAAAAAACAAAATCATTCCCTAATTCTTTGTAGCTGGGTCCCCTGCCTCCTCTTGTCACTAGAAGCACAGCAGCAGAGCTGAAGCAGGTGGATCTGTGTGAGTTCAAAGCCAGCCTGGTCTACAGAGCTAGTTCCAGGACAGCCAGGACTGTTAACACAGAGAAACCCTGTCTCAAAAAACAAAAAAAAACGAACAAAAAACATATTATACTATATGTTCAAAATGGAGGCTTTTTAAAGTTTGTTGACACAGATTGTAGAAGTAGACATTTTTATTTTTTAATCTTCTTATTTCTATACTTGCCAAGTTTCTTCTTCACAGAGAACAGATTTACTATGAAAAATAAATCTCAAAATTTAATTAGCAAGAAAAAAAAGAAGCCATTCACCTTCAGATTATTTCCTGCTAAATTCAGCCATTCCAAATGGACTAGGTCCTTCAGCCCTTCCATGCAGCCAATACTATTATGAGGTAAATTTAATACCCGGAGTTGAGTCAGTTTGGCCACGCCCATCATCCGAACCAGCCGATTATTAGCTACTGACAACTGTGAAAAGGGAACATTATTATTCCTAGAAACAAATACACAGGTCCACGCATATTACAAACATTCCCAAACCCAATTTATATTTTTTACACATATTATTTATATGTATTACCTACAATATAACTACTGGAGTTTGTTGTTCTAATCAAATCAAATACACACACACACAAAGAGAGAGAGAGAGAGAGAGAGAGAGAGAGAGAGAGAGCCTGCTATGGGGTAACCAACTGACGCCTGCTCCACAGGAAGGGATTCATGTGTGTTACTGTAAACCCAGCCAAAAACCCATGGCTGGGGATGACATAAGCCCTAGTGAAGAAGCTCCTGATGTTTTTTGCTAAATGGATACAATGTACCTATCAAATTGCCTTCTAAATAACTACACACCCCACAGAACAATGCTGCGGTCATCTCTATTCAGAGCAGTGTCCTTTGCAGTGATGAGTGGTGACTGCAAAGATTCAAAGTGCAGGAAACAAATAAATAGCTCCTAAGTGCCCAGTCCTAAGTGGGACATCTGTAACATCCCCTCCAAGGCTCCAGGAGTGAGGTGGGAGAAGGGGCAGAAAGAATGTAAGAGCAGGGGAGAGGGGGGAGGCATGGAATACTGACTTCTGGGGATGGCACTTTTTTTTTTTTTCTGGAGGTGGGGTGGAGTTTGGAAGGCTTATCCATCCCTGAGGATTACTAGACAGCTGATGGTTGGTGGAGGAGGAAGACATTCTCTTCAGTGGCATAGTCACTGGTAGGGTGTCCACGCTACGGTAAATAGACTCTCATTCCTGCCCCTCAAGAAATTTACTGGGTCACAAAAAGTGGGGGGGGGGAGAGGAGAAGACAAGGAAAAGCAGGAGAGGCCACTGGAGACAAGAAAGAGGATTAGAGGGAATAGAAAGGAACCCAGAGAGGCAAAGGCAATGTTTGTGATAGAAATACATTATATACACACTCAGAAAAGCAAAACCCAGTAGTACAAATAATTAACATTTGCTTACACAAAGTACAGACAAAGCTGAACGAGACTTCTGTCAATTACTAAAGATACCTGTGTGTGGATGGTGTATGTTGGAGGGAGTGTGTGTGTGTGTGTGTGTGTGTGTGTGTGTGTGTGTGTGTGTGTGGCATATGTTCACATGTTGCATATATGTGAATACATGGGTGCACATGCCCATGTGTACACATGAAAACCTAGAGCAGGACTTTGGGTATCTCCCTCTAGCACTGTCCTGATTGCTTTAAGACAGGCTCTCACTGACCTGGAAGCTCACTGTTTTGACTAAGTTGGTTGGCCAGCTAGCTCTCAGCATCTGCCCATCTCTCCCCTCCAACAACTGGGTTAAATGTAAACTACATGCTTCAGTCAAAACTAGGACAATGCTAGGTACACTGAGAGGGAGCAAATAAACACTTCTTTTTGTTTGATTGTTTTGGTACAGTACTGACAAACTTAGGGCTTTGAGTATGCTAAGCATGTACTCCTAGCACTCAAGTATATCCCAAGTGTTAGTATTCAGGCATCTGTACTGGCCATGGGGTTCTGACAGGATACGCCCTCAGCTGCAGCCACTAATTGTAGGGAGACACCCTAGCCCCGCCCAATAGTCTTGGGACAGGTACCAGGTGGACCCAGGACTGGCCCATAAGGGCGTGGGGAATGAAAGCCAGGGTGACGTAAGGGAGCTTCTTAAGGGTCTGCACGTGGGGACCTGGGCCCTTTTGTTCTGGCCGCGCTGGCTGGGTTCTATAACCTAGCTCTGGCCTGTGTTTTACCTTGGTGTCTTCTGGAATAAAGAGACCTTAATCCAACAACTAATAGCACCACTTGTGCCTATTCACTATGTTCCCTTTTAAAAGGGCCCTGTCTACCTCCCATCCTGCTCTCTCTCTCTCTCCCTCTCTCTGTCTGTCTGATCCCCCCTCTCTTTTCTCTCTCTCTTCTTCCTCCCCTTTCCCCTTTTTATGATCCTTTTCCCTTATGAAAAAACCCCTTGGCTTGAACCCTGTCTCATGGCATCTTTCTCTCCAGTGCTGCTTTTCTTAAATTACAATACCAACCCCAACATTCTTGGATGAATAAGCTCTTTGCCCACAATATGAAGGAAAGATTAGATTAACACAATATTTCATCAACATATAATGTTCTCTTTAAATATAAATATTTACAGGAGTAGAAAGATGGCTTGGCACTTAAGAGCACTTGCTGTCCTTCCAGAGGATCAGAGTTCAGTTCCTAGCACCCAAGTAAGGTAGTCACAACCACGGATATATAACTCCAGCTTCAGGAAAATCTGATACCCTCTCTTCTGGCCTCCAATTGTACTCATATATATATGGCACATATTATACAGATATACACAAATACACATAAATAAAAAGTAAAATAAACAAGAGCACTGGTCTATAGCGCAGTTACAGGGCAGGCTCCAAAGCTACACAGAAAGACTCTGTCTGGAAAAAAAAACAACAACAAAAACAAAAACAAAAAAAATTTAAATATTTACAGCATCCGTGTGTGTGTGTGTGTGTGTGTGTGTGTGTGTGTGTGTGTGTATTCAAGAATCACACTTGCAGACACACTTGAGCAACAGTACACATGCAAATGTCACCAGCATACTCTCAGAAGTCCGTTCTCTCCTTCTGCTTGTGGCACACACAGATCAAACTCAGGTCTCCAGGCCTCTGCCCAAGCACTCCCACCTACTGAGCCACCTTGCTGGCCCTGTTCCCACTACTTAATGATGCTTCTTTCTCTAGATCACTGGAAATGTAATACATGTATTCATCTTCAAAAACTAGCATATAAAACTTTAAGGCAACATTTACTACTCTCAAAGCATGGAGAATAACTTTTTGGTTTCATTTAGTAATAAATTAGTCTTATATAACCCATACCCACCTGTATTAACTGTTTGCATTTCTCTAGATTTTCCAGTTTAATAATCTGGTTTTTATCCAGAATCAATGTGTGAACATCAGCATCACAGGGCAGGTTGGGCCCTAGTTTCTGTAGTCCCTGCCCTGACCAGTTCACCACTGAGCCTTGAGAAGAGAAGACAACTTATTAGAAAGCAAAAATGACAGCTGAGAAAAAATATATATACACCAGAGCACAGTAAGCAGCAAGAGTTTAAAACTATAGCAACTCAGAGCTGGGATGATACATTTTTTTCCTCAAAATTTAGCTCAGAGGCAGAGCCCTTACCTAGCATGCAAGGCCCTGAGGTTCCCTTATTTTGTATCTAATAATAGTATTTTTAAAATTGGGCTTAAGTTTCTTTTTATGTTTGATTGTTTGTTTAGTCTTTCGAGATAGGGTTTCTCTGTGTAGCTTTGGAAACTGTCCTGGAACTCGCTCTGTAGACCAGGCTGGTTTAGAACTCACAGAGATCTGCCTACCTCTGCCTCCTGAGTGCTGGGATCAAAGGCATGCACCACCACTGCCTGGCTGGTCTTAAGTTTCTTTTTTGAGTTTTGTCCTTTTTTTTTTTCCCATGGATATTATTTCCCTTTTGTTATCCTTCAATTTTTTTCTTTTTTTTGGATTGTTTTTCTTTTGCTGTTGTTTTATTTTGTGTTGAGACAGAGTCTGAAGCTGACCAGGCTAGCATAAACTATGCGCCTGACGCTGGATTTGAACTCCTGATATTTCCTCCATCTCCCAAGTACCGGGACTATAGCTATCACCATACAAGGCCCTAGAACTGATTTTTTATAGAGATCAAACTGTTTGTGGCCTAACTACAAGTATATCAAGTGCCTAAAGTAGTGTGTATGGTGGGGTCACATCATGCATGCCCAGGGAGGCCTGAAGAAAAAAGGCTGGGTGTCCTGCTTTGTCCCTTTTTTCATTCTCTTCACGAACACTCTCTCAATGAACCTGGAAGCCTAGAGCTAGACTGGAAGTCAGCAAGCCTCCATGGCATTACAGGCACGCATTGGGAGCTTTTTGGAGGGACAATAGGGATTTCAACTCCTGCCCTAGTGCTTTCATAGCAAGTACTCTAACCCACTGAGCCATCTCTGTGGCCCTCACTTTGAGGCAGGGTCTCTTGCTGGCCTGGAACTCATCAAATAGGGTAGGCTGGTTGGCCAGCAAGCCCCAAGGATCTGCCTGTATCCATCTTTTTCTCAGCACGGACTAAGATTACAAGCTCTTGCTGCCAAAAGTTCCCTTGGGTTTGGAGGATTGAACCTGGGTCCACACACTCGCACAGCAAGGACTACACCAACTAAACTATCTCCCCAGTCACTTCTGAATATTTTGAAGATCAAAGTATAGTTAACTAAACTATAGAATAAAATGATTCTCTGATTTCTCAAGGTTGGTGTGAAGCCAAACAATTCACACACAGCCTCAGACCTGGCAGGCAATGCTCAATAAAGCACAGCAGCATGAATTCCAACTATAGCTGTGGTTAACCACTATGGACAAGTTTCCTTCTCTTTTTCTCCTTCATTTTTTCAGTTGGAAAGCTCCCCAAATTAAGGTGTTGCCAAGTTTGGTAACTGAGACCCTTTCTCCTAGAGGCTGGCTACCTCCTCACTGTGTCCTCCAATGTCTTTCCTCTATAGGTACAAATCGCTGAGTTAACTTTCCTACTCTATGAATTGTGGATGACAATTAACCAGCCATAGTGGTGCATGCCTTTAATTCAGCACTTGGGAAGCAGAGAAACCTGGTCTATATAGTGAGTTCCAGGACAGCCAGAGAGATCCTGTCTTGAAAAAAAAAAAAAAGAAAAAAGAAAAAAGTCATACAGTGGTGGCGCAGGGCTTTAATCTCAGCACTCCAAGAGGCAGAATCATCTCTGTGAGTTCGAAGCTAGTCTAGTCTACAGATCCAGTTCCAGGATAGTCAGGGACTACACAAAGAAATCGTCTCAAACATAAAAGGGGACAGGGGATGAGGCTGAGCCACTTGTGGTAATACACATCTTTAATTTTAGCACTGGGGAGGCAAAGGCAGGAGGATTTCTGTGAGTTTTAGGCCAGTCACAACTACATAATGAGATCCTGTCTTGAGGGAAAAAAATGTGAGAATACAATATAAATATTTTCTACATGAAAACTTGAGATAAGAAAAGTGCTCAAAATATCATCTGGCTTTTAAAAAGTGGCTCTGTGATGAGCACAGGGGTCCAGACCAGGCTTGTGAAACCCACAAAAACAGCTGACCTGAACATCAGGGAGCTCTTGGTCCCCAGTCTGATAGCTGGGATAGTGGGTTTCAGTGAGGAGACCTCAGAAATCTACGGGACCTCCTGTAGTAGATCAGTACTTATCCCTAGCATAAGAATGGACTTTGGGAGCCCATTCCACATAGAGGGATACTCCCTGAGGCAAGACACACGGGGATGGGCCTAGGGCCCTAACCCAAAGGATATGATAGACTCTGGTGACACCCTATGGAAGGCCTCACCCTCCCTGGGGAGCAGAAAGGATATGTGATAGGTAGGGTTGCAGTTGTGGGAGGGGTGGTAGGGGAGGAGGGGAGGGAGAGGGAACTGGGATTGACATGTAAAACAATCTTGTTTCTAATTCAAATTTTTAAAAATGCTGTAAAAAAAAATTGCTCTGTAAATACTAGAGGCTGCTCTCGTCTGTTGTCTTGGAGGGCTAGAGAGTTTTAGGAAAGGCAGCGACCATAGTGGGCGGGGCCAGAGTAACTGCCAATTTCAAATTTACCATCAGACTAGGATACCCTGGGAAATAAATTTTTCGGAACTCTCTTCTAGAAGGTTTCAAAGTTTTTTTCAGTTTTCTTAGCACGGGAGATGTCGTGAGCCGCTTCTTGAAAGATGAAAACTATGCTGTCGCAGAAAAGCGCACCCAGCGTTTGCACACAGTTCCGAAAGGTCGACACATCTTTTAGCCGAACTCCTCCCCTCAAAAATTCAGGGTCCCCAGGTTATGAGCCCCGACTCTATCCCTGTCTGCCCCAATCCAGCCAGCGGCTACCACGCCTCAGAGTGTAACCAAAACAAAAGCTCAGGTCCGGCGCCCCACGGAGGCATCTTCCAGCCACAGGCGCACCCCTCGCCTGCGCTCTGCTAAACAAAGACCAAACTCGACCCCGGGACCCGGCCTGCAGAATGACGGGGGAGCAACGGGTGTCCCGGTCACCCCCAGATTCTACCACGGGTACTGGCCACTTCCAAGGAAGAGTTCAGGCAGACTGTGATGCGGTGGTATCAGATAAGATGCTTCCTGAACGTTCTCGGAACCGATGGGGGAGGGGGCAGAGGAAAGAAAGAGACTCTGCCAATTTCCCGTGGGCACTCGGAACTCAAAGTAAACGTCCCAGAAAGGTCGCCGCAGTCCGGAGCCCACTGCCCAGTCAGACTAGGGAGAGCGCGGGACGGGGGCGCCGGGCACCGCGAAGGCTCCTGGGGGCTGAAGTCCCTCATCCAGCCGCCTTCACCGCATGCTGCCAAACCGGACCTGAGAGCGGGACTACAACTCCCAGTAGGTAATGCGCCTTCGCGCTGCCTACAGCCCCGTATCAAAAGAACTGGTCCAAAACTGCACCTCGAAACCCAGGCTTCCTCTTTACACTAAGCAACTATTTAATATGATTTAGTGAAGTAAACTTTGGAGTTCAGGGATGGGAATCGTCCTACCTTCTCCCGGAGCCAGAGCCCCGTCGGCTCGCGCTACCGCCATAGTTGCTGCTTGCTAATGACACCAGCAACCGTCCTCAGCCGTTCTGTAGACTATGTAGTCAGAGGTGGGAAACTGCAAACTACAACTCCCAGGATGCACAGCACTCAGTCGGCCCAATCGGCTGCCGGATGGGAATCACAGGCTAGAAAGTGAGTGTAGTTTAGAAAAAAAAAAAAAAAAAAGAGCTTAGGAGACCTTGATAGGTGAGCAAGCTGCATTGTTAGATGAATCTTTTCACTCCAGGGCCAGGTGTTTGAGAAATCTGACACTTTTACCACCTGGCACATTATAAGGATGTTATTTAAAGTAAACAATTTGAGAGCTCTTTGCTAGAAGTCTCTATGACAGCTACCCATTTTGGCAATTCTGAGTTAAGTTTAAAAGATTTGAGATTCGCTATAGGAATGACTAAATATTTTGAGACAGTCAAAATGGACACATTGTATTTGAAATTTCACCTAACTAAATGGTTTTAAAGCTTCAGAAACAGTTGTTACACATTCAACAGAGCTTTTGACTAAGGACTATATTTGATACGTAAGTGCACAGAACTTTTTCCTGGAGTGTTCAAAAGTAGTTTAAAATAGCTTCCAAAGTTAAGAATACTTACTTTGCCCAGTTAGAAGGGCACAAGCTTATCCTGTTTTGATTTAACTATGAACTCAGTAAGATAGGTAGTGGAAATTACAATATTTGGGAAAGTTAAGCTAGGATTTAAAAGGTAGCTCCGTAGCTCAAAGGGAGCTCTCCCTTTTTTCACCAGCTTGTCTACACACTGACTGCCAGTCTTGCCAAAAGGGCACTGTACAAAGTCTGGGCATTTCTGTTGAGGAAAATCCAGTAACTCAGGCTTCCAGCTCTTCTGGCTCATGATTCTAAAAGCATTTTCTCTTCCCTGTATTCCTTTTTCGTTGACATCATTGCCCTTAAAGAACTTTTCTGTTTCCCATTGGTTCAGTCTAAAGATAATTTAATTCTGAAGAAAGAATAAGGATTCCCCTTCTTTTTAACCAAGAGACCCTTTTCTTGGAAAACAGTCTTATTACTTTACATGTATAAATACAAAGCAAGCCAGGCATGGTAGCCCAAACCTTTCATCCCAGCACTGGCAGGCGAGGGGGAGGGCGACAGGGGCAGGCAAATCTGTGAGTTGAAGGTCAGCTTGATCTACTTGGTGAGTTTCAGGGCAGCCAGAGCTACATGACAGAGAAACTCTAGCTCAAAAATGAATTGGCATCTCAGGCAGCTGTGAGCTACCTACCATGTGGGTGCTGGGAACCCAAACCCAATCCTCTTCAAGAGCAAGTAATCTTAATCACCAAGTCATCTCTCTATCCCTACAGATTTTCTTGTTTTTTAAGTAATTTATTTTTTTATGTGCATTGTTGTTTTGCCTACAGTTTTGTCTGATCTTGGAGTTACAGACAGTTGTGAGCTGCCATGTGGGTGCTGAGAGTTGAACTCGGGTCCTCTGGAAGAACAGTCAATGCTCTTAACTGCTGAGCCATCTCTCCAGCCCCAGATTTTCTTTTAATCTCTAGCAAAATCATGTGGCAGCTCTGACAGGACTTCCCAAAATTTCCAGTAACAGAAACAAGTCATCATTTTAGGGCAGGACACCAGCAAACACACACCCCAAAGTAACATTTCATCTCTTGACCTTGGCCAGAGCCATAACGTTCTTGTTTCCTGTCCTGGATCAACAGTAGAGAAGCCAGGCCGGGAGGTGGCTAAACTCCGATCCTTAAACCCAGCACTCTGAGAGAGAGGCAGGCAGATCTCTGTGAGTTCGAGGCTAGCCTGGACTACAAAGTGAGTCCCATGACAGGCTCCAAAACTATACAGAGAAACCCTATCTCAAAATAAATAAATCTCACACACACACACACACAAAAAAAAAAAAACACACACACACACACACAAAAAAAAAAAAAAAAAAAAAAGTAGAGATGTCAGAAGAAAGTCCTGGTAGCTGGACTGGTTTCTTGTTCTCTCTTCCTTTAAATAAGCATATTCCTTCCTGACAGCATCCTACACCTGACAGTATGACCAAAGCTCCAGTTCAATTTATCCCTGCTGGTGAACGAGTCTGGAGTTGGACCTCTGGGTTTGCATGGTGGGAATGGATGGGATCTATTCCCCGATTTCATCTCATCTCTTAAATTATTTTAGTATTGGGGGGGGTTGTTACAGTTGTCTTAGGAGACATCGAAGATGCCAGGGCTTTGTTGAGACCCTTTGGAAGAAAATCATTTCATTTTGGCAAAAAGAATGGAATACCTCTGCTCCTGAGTGGAGATCTGGCACTCTACTCCAAAGAGTAGAACATTGCATACTGTTTATAGTTGCTTCCCTTCTTTCTTTCAAATGCTAATAAAATTGTCCTCAAACTTCCAATTCTGAGTAAAGAAGACCAAAACAAAGAACCCCCCACTAATATTATCAAGGAAACTTCCCTTCATAATCAACTAGCCCAGTTTACTTTTGAAGATACATTTTATTTATTTTGGTGTGGTGTGTGTGCGTGTGTGTGTGTGTGTGTGTGTGTGTGTGTGTGTGTCTGTCTGTCTGTCTGTCTGTCTGTCTGTCTGTCTGTCTGTGAAGGCTAGAAGAGGACATCCAATGTGGTTGTGAGCCACCAATATAGGTTGTGAGCCAAACTCGGGTCCTCTACAAGTGTTTTATTTTTGTCATTTTAGGGATCCCCACTTTACTTCTGACAACTCTGGGCTCTGAGGATTGTGGAGACTATAGTTCTAGGAGAGAGTAAAGAAAGGGCTCTGTATCTCTCCTATGGAACAAAGTCATTATTTAGAAAGGAGCCCCGGGAATGTTAGTGGGTGAAGGTACTTCGGGAACACAGATTTTTTTTTCCAACTTTACAATAGTAGCTGGGAGACAGTTTTGTGTGATTCATCTGCCCAGAGTTCCTCAGGAAAGGGCCCAAAGGTTAGATGATCAAGTAACCCAACAATTCTTCACAGTCCTGACACAGACATGCTTTTGTGTTTCAGGCACCAATTTAACATCTAAAATCAAACCAATAACCTTTTTAACTAAATTACCTGAATATTAAGCCCTGCAATTTCTGAATGAGTTGGAGAATTCTACTAATGAGACCTGCAAGCCTCTCAGAAAGGTAGTGTGTCTTGGCAGTCCAGACCCTACTTTCACTTCTATCAGCACTGTGTATTCGATCCTCAGCTCTGCTCCCAATTTCATCTGCCCACTGTTAATGGAATGATCCAAGCAAAACAATGCTCTCTCTGTGTCCATCAATCCCCCCCCCCAGAAACACCCACTTGAAATTCAACTTTCCAAGGCCAAACATAAGCTGGCCTCGGTCGACTTCCCACCATTCATTCCATTCATTTTCATTTGCCGCTTTTCACTGAAGGACTGACAAAAGGAACTTGTGTTTAGAAAAGTTCAACTGCTCCTATAACAAGGATGAATTGAAAGGTAGCTCAGGAAGGAGACTTGTAATAGTGCATGGGAACTTCCAACAAGGTTCCAGGGGAGGATCATAAACAAAGCTCAGATAACACAGTTAAGAGACCAAGTCAACACTGGACTGTGTGTGTTTGTATGTTTGAGTTTTGAGAGAAGGATTTACTCTGAAGCCTAGGTTGGCCTCAAACTCACTAAAATAGTCCTGCCTCAGACTTCTGAGTGCGAGGATTACTGACATTGCCACCATGCCTGGGCACATTTGTGGTTACTGCAATCTACCATACAATGAAGGTGCTTTGGTAATTAGGATTGAGTTTATCATGTCTGAAAGAAAAAAGTCTAACTATGATGTTTGCAAGTTGTTAAGTAAGTTGTTGATGTGCCCATGTAGAGGTCAAAGAACTGTGTGGGAATTGGTTCTCTCCTACCCTGTGGGTGTAGGGGATGGAACTCAGTCTTGGCAACAAGTCTCATCATTAAATAAATAAATAGAGGGGCTGGAGAGATGGGTCAGCAGTTAAGAGCACTTGCTGCGGCCAGCCTGGTCCACAGAGCAAGTTCTAGGACAGACAGAACTACATAATGAGACCCTGTCTCAAGAAAAAAGAAAGTAAAAATTCACAGTGCCTCAGAACGTGCCAGTTACAAAGTCAGTGGGATCCAGAATCTGCAGAGGTCAATGTCACTCTCCTATTGGAGAGCATTGGGAGATGAAGTGACCAAAACTGCATTGCAGGCTTGGAGGAACACTCCATGGGTATTGTACTGAATGAGGGAACAGTATGCAATGTGAGACCCTGTGACCTAAGGTAGGGGAGCATGGCCCCATTTTCTGGTCTGCAAAGTGGAGCTGGTATCTTGGGTCATGTCTGCCTTACTTGGAATTTAAAACAAGTTTTCAAAATATAAAAAAACAAACAAACAAAACAAACAAACAAAAGAGCACTTGCTGCTCTTGCAGAGAACTGGAGTTCAGTCCTCAGCATCCACATCCAGTGGCTTGTAACTCCACTTCCGGGATCTAACTCCTTGCCTCCATATGCATGCATGTGCACACACACACTCACACAGATAAAATATAATTTTTTTAAAGATTTTATTTATTTATTATGTATACAACATTCTGCTTCCATGTATATCTGCACACCAGAAGAGGGCACCAGATCTCATCATGGATGGTTGTGAGCCACCATGTGGTTGCTGGGAATTGAATTTAGGACCTCTGGAAGAGTAGTCAGTGCTCTTAATCTCTGAGCCATCTCTCCAGCCCCCAAAATATAATTTTTTTTTTAAGAATCGGGTGGGGGGGTTGATAGAGAGATAGCAGGCACAAACAAGCAGGCAGAACAAGCAGGCAGAACACTGTATATATAAAATAAATCTTAAAAAAAAAATCAGGTGGGATGTGGTGGCACATACCTCTAACACCAGCACTCCAAAGGCAGAG